AGTGAAATGTATACAGAACTACAGCTACAAAACCCACAGGGTTTCTAAACTGAAAACCTTAAGCTGTCTTTTATTGGAAAAATGTCAAGCCTCAAGTTGCAATATTAAAAGATTCTATAGAAAAATAATGAAGGATTCAGGAAGCATCAAAAGAAGATGGAAAGAACACATAGAATCACTGTACCAAAAAGAACTAGTCGGCATTCCCCTATTTCAGGAGGTAGCAGATGAGCAAGAACAAATGGCACGAAAGGAGAAAACTCATGCTGCACTGAAAGCATTAGCCAAAAACAAAGCTCCAGGAATGGATGGGATACCAATGGGAATGTTTCCAGAAGCACTGGAAACACTCCCTTGTCTGTGCCAGGAATTTGGAAGACTTGGCCAGCTGACTGGAAGAGATCCATATTTGTACCCATTCCAAAGGAAGGTGACCCAATAGAATGCTCAAATTATAAAGCAATGTCATTGATACCACATGCTTGTAAAGTGTTGCTGAAGGGCATCCACCAGCAGTTGCAGCACTGCATTGACAAGGGGTTGCCAGAGATTCATGCTGAATTCAGAAGAGAAAGTGAAGCAAGGCGTATCATTTCCGATGTCAGCTGGGTCTTGGCTGAAAGCAGAGAATACCAGAAACACGTTTACTTGTATTATATTGACTATGCCATGGCATTCAACTGTGTAGACCATAATAAACTGTGCATAACCTTGAGAAAAATGAGAACTCTAGAACTTATCCATGCATCAAAAGGCATTGTTCAAGCAAAACAAGAGAATACTGCATGGTTTAAAATCAGAAAAGGTGCGAGTCAGGGTTGTATTCCGTCACCATACTTAGGCAATCTGAATGCTGAACAAATCACCAAAGCAGCTGCCTGGCATGAAAAAGAGTGTGGCACCAAGATTGGAGGAAGGCTTATTAACATCTTGAGACATGAAGATAACGGAACCTTGCTTCTTGCAAGTAAGGAGGACTTGAAGTACTTGCTGATGAAAATCAAGCATCGTAGCCCTCAGTATGGATTTCAGTGCAAAGGCAAGATGGCCAAAATCCTCACCACTGGACCAGTAGTTATATCGTGATAAGTGGAGAAAATATTAAAATTGTCAAGGTTATTTTCTTGCTTGGGTCTATAATCAGCACTCATGGAACCAGCAGTCAAGAGATCAAAAGACATTGTATTAGGGAAATCTGCTGCACAACTCCTAGAGTTTTGAAAAGCAAGGATGTTATTTTGTGGACGAGGGTGCACCTGACCCTAGCAATGATATTTTCAATCACCTCATCTGCATATGAAAGTTGGATACTGAATAAGGAAGGCTGAAGAAGAATTAATGCATTTGAATTGCGGTGCTGGATTGCTAAAAGGACAAACCAATCTGTCTTGGAAAAATTATGGTCAGCATGCTCCTTAGAGGCCAGAGTAGTGAGACCTTGTCTTACATAATTTGCACATGTCACAAGGAGAGAACAGCCCCTGGAGAAGGATATCATGCTTTGTAAATTGAGGGGCCATGAAAAAAGGGAAGACCCTCAGGGAAACGGATTGAGACATTGATGGCAACAATGGGCTCTAGCACAAGAACAATTGTGAGGATGGTGCAGCACCAGGCAGTGGTTCATTTCTGTTGTGGCTAGGGTCTTTATGGATCGGAACTGACTTGATGGCATCCAACAACAACAATGACAAGATTTTCTTTATTGATAGATATGTTTATTTATAATATGACTGTTTTCTCTTTGTCCGATCTGTTTCCCGCCCCCCCACACACACACCTGCTTTCTAGGTTATTTAAGCATTTATTGACTATATTTTGTTATTTTACTTCTTATCTATTAGGTTTTTTGTTATTATTCTAGTGGTTATATTCTAGAAATCAAATATATATATATTTTCCTAATTTGAGGCAACCTAAAACTATAGAATTCTTACCACTTCTAGGATTTAGAATAGGAGCTCTGGTGGTGGAATGGGTTGCTAATAGTTGGGTTGCTAAGCTCAAGGTGAGCAGTGCAAACCATCTGTCATCCCTCTAGAGAAAGGTGAGGCTGTCTGCCCCCTTCAAGATTTATAATCTGTCCTTCTGGGGAACCCTTGCAAATATTCACAACTGCTCTGCTCTGGGGCTTTCTTCTCTCTAGCATGTGGTCTCAGAACCCTGGACATCTTATCTTGCCATACCCTCAGCTCCTTGTCCTCAACTCAGGGCCTGCTAGACTGTGCCCAGGTTACCCCTCATTGCACACGGTATGGTAGTGTCCAGATACAGTAAGCTGAGGCACTAGTGGCACTAGTCGGACTTAGCACATTTCCCCCTGTCTTCCAGGGACCATTGTCTTTCATTGTCTGATGTGCAAGCTTGACAATGTCAATCACATACATTTTCTCTGGTTAATCATTCTTGTTGTTTTGAGTAAGAGGATAGGTCACGTTCATTTATGCCATTTTTGACAGAAGCAAAAGTTAATGTGCTACGTTTAAAAAATTGCATTTGACTGTGGGACCCCTTTTCCTGGTGCCTGCCTCGGGAATTTCTGCATTAAAGCATTCATCCACAGAAGTGGAAGAATCTGAAAGATAGTAGGCACTCAATAATGTTGAGCTAAGAAATGGAATTTACCCATTAAAACTCAAATGCCTTTGAGACATAAAACCCTTTAAATCATTAACATCCAGTAGCACTGATTAATTGATCTGATGATTGGTTTAAGTTTAATTCTTTATCTGACAGAGGAAAGATAAAAACTGGAACAAATAAAATTATAGAGTTTGAAGATGTTGTTGGGAAGATAGGATAGAGGTCCAGGCCGATGCTTGAGCTTCTTTCTTCCTTTTACAGATGAGTCAAATCTTATAGGATGAAGTGACTTGCTTAAGGTCAAGTGGTGTCCCTGGGTGATCTAAAAGGTCACCCATTGGGCTGCTAACTGCCAATTAGGCATTTGAAGTTCACCCCATGACACCTAGGAAGAAAGGCCTGGCTTACTTCTAAAATCCAGCCACTGGAAATCCTTTGGAGCATACATATGGTCCCCATGAGTCAGAATCTTGGCAACAGATCTTTTCTAAGGTCATGTAGGTCATATACCGGAAGAGCTGAAATTAGAACTTTATTGTGAATTAGATAACACAAATCCCCATGGACGTCTCATATAGGATGGTTGGACTTGGTGATGGGGGGCGGCGGTGGTGGTGACTGAGTGAGGGAGTGGAGTCTGGAGATGCTTCTGGATGCACAGTCAGTGAACTGGCTTTCTACTGGTCCTGAGACATGAGCACACAGGCCAGCTAGGAGGGAGTCCAAAAGAGTCAGCCTGTAGGCTGCTGGAGAACAAGAATCCTGCTCTGTATAGAAAATGGAAACAGATAACTTATATGGAAAAAAATTTTAAGTTATTGCCAATAAATAAAAGTACTTCTGGCTATGCCCTCCTTTCTTATTTTGGATCTCCTCACACGCTGGTCCCCCAAGGTAATCCACAGGCTTGCTATCTTGTTTCAGGTACTATGAGTTTATTAGGCAGGCTTTGGGTGCTCATTTCTAACTCATCAAATTCCTGAGACTCTGTTTCAGGCATCTTCCCATTTGCCCACTGCCTCTGTCTAAACAAAAGCTACCATTCTTGCATCCCTGCCCTTAGAACACTGCTGGTCCTGGCTACAGAGGGCTGGAAGTGCCAAAGCCAAATAAAAATTTGCCTTCAATCCAGTGAGAAATCTGAATGAGGACTTGAGCATGCGCTGATTTCAGCAGCAGTTTAATTGTCATCCTAAAGGAATAAGAGGTACTTTTTCTTCATCATAGTACATCATGTCTTAAGAAGAACTGTGAGATGATGGTATTTTTCATTCTGGAGATGAAATATCTTTTGATCCAGGAGAGAATTGACAAATGCTAATTTAAAGATTCTGGTTTGTCATGGAGCTACAGAGCCCGACTGCCCAAGGGGTCCTGGGTTGGGGGTGGTGGACAGTGTTCTTGTAAGTCCAGCAGTAGTGAATCTGGTTTGGTGACCACTCTGTAACATGCCCAATGCACGCATGTCCAAAACATTTTAGAGGACCAGTGTTGGCCAGCGGCATCAGGGAGCTGAAGAACTATATTAACAAGTGATGCCCTTAGATGATAGACTACCTGCATCATGCCCTGTTTTCCTCATATCATACACACCCGAGGCCTCTCAATTTGTAATAGTCATTGTCAGAACTGATGCATCCTGGGCACTTGATATGAGATAAGCATTGTTTTTATGTACTTTTCTTGTATGTCTTCATTTTAAAAAAAACACCAGTCCACTGCTATTGAGTCCATGCTAGCTCATGGTGACAATTTCTAGGGTTTCTGATGGTGTAAATCTTTATAGGAGGAGACCTTGGAGTGGCTGGTGGGTTTGAAATTCTGACCTTTTAGTTAGCAGTTCAATGCTTACAAGCCAGCACCACCAGGGACCCTCATGACCGCCTGAGTCCTTCGCTATTACCTGATTGTGGAGCCCTCGTAGCACAGTGGGCTATGTGTTGGGTTGCTTACTGCAAGGTCAGTGGGTTGAGCCTACCAGTCTTTCTGCAGGAGGAAGGCAAGGCTTCCTGTTCCTGTAAAGATTTATAATGTGAGAAATCTGAAAGGTTCCCCACAGGGTCACTATGGGTCATAATTCATTGGATGGCAATGGGTTGGGATTTTGGACATGTAACTACCAAGGAAGCACTAGTAGGCTCATTTTACTAAAGAGTAGATTGAAGTAGAGAATGACTAAGTCTTTTGCTCAGACCAGACAGTGATGAGCCAGGAGTCTTCCCACGTTAGAATCCAGGGCCCAGAAGGCCGTCTTGGCCTGATGCTGGACCTCCCTTCAGTCAAATGGTGGAGGTGTGGAGCCACATTTAAGTTGATTTAAAGGAGAAAGGGAAGAAGAAAGGGTGGTGGGGAGATGCAAGAGAAGAAGACTTGTTATATTCTGTGTTGTGGAATATCAGAGCACAATGCTTACCCACTAGACTGAGAGGCTGGGCTTTATTTTTAGAAATAGAGTTAGTCTGAGCATAGGTATCATCCAACTTCTCTGTTCCTGGCAGAGTCTGTAAATCTGCTTTCATTAGTTTGAAGAGTCTTGAAGAGAATTCTAGGAGGACAAAACAAGACAACAACATGAAGAAACTTATTTGACTGGTTTTCTTTTCTTTTTGTTGAATTTCTCCTCATGGAGAGACATAAATTCAAATTGCTTTAGCACTCAATTTAAAATTTAAGTAGAAACCCTAACATACTACTATGTCCAAGGTCTATAGACAGTAGTTAAGCACTGATTAGTAACCTAAACATTGGCAGTTCAAATCTACCACAGGTTCCTTGGAGAAACAGGTCTTGCAATCTGCTCCCCAAAGGTCACAGACTAGGATGCCCTATGGAACAGCTCGAGCTGGAACATGGGGTGGGGGTGGGGGGTTGCTGTGAGTAGAATCGGCTCTATGGCAACTATCACCATCACCAGTACTGCTGGACCCAAGGCAGAGTTCTCAAATATTATAATAAGCATTTAAATATTATTTTTTTCCAGAACAGTTTTAGATTTGCAGAGAAATTACAAAGATAATATGGGGAGTTCTCTTGCACTCCATACTCAGCCTCCTTGGATATTAACATCATGCATTAGCTAATTTATTACAAAAATGGTATATTATTATTAACAAAAAGTCTTACTTCCTTCAAAGTGCCTTCACTTTCACATGTTTCTTTTCTGTCCCAAGATCCTGTCCAGGAAACAAAACCTTGTTTAGTCATTATGTGTCTTGTGCTCTTCTTGGCTATGAGCTTCTCAGACTTGTCTTAGTTTTGATGGCCTTGACAACTTTGAGTAGCCATGATGGCCGAGTGGGTTACTAGTTTGACTGTTAACTGCAAGGTCAACAGTTCAAACCCACCTGCCGCTCCTTAGGATAAAGATGAGGCTTTTTACTCCTCTAAAGAGTTACGGTCTCAGAAAAACCACAGGGAGAGTTCTACCCTGTCCTGTAAGGTTGCTATGAGTTGGCATCAACTCAATGATGATGACTTTTATTTTGATGTGTACTGTCCAGTGTTTATAGAATACCTCTCACTCGGGTTGTTCTGATGAGTTTCTCTTAATTACACCAGTAATCAACTAGTCAGAACTAGTTAGAAGTTTGGGGTGGGGGTGGGGGACAAACATACAAATAAAGTGTCATTTTCATCACATCATATCAAGGCTGCCTAGCAACAACATACTTATCACAGATAGTGTTGACACTGGCTGTGGTAATGTTTCTCCACTGTAAAATTACTCCCCACATTTACCAGAGTCTACTGTTGGGAAGGAAGTCACAATGGGCAATCCATGCTTAAGGAATGGGAGTTACGCTCCACTTCCTTGAGTATCTATATAAATTATCTGGACTTTTTGTGCATGGAAGATTTTGTCTGCCCCATATATTCATTTGATCAGAATTTTTAAGAGGTAGAGAATTAAGCAGACAATGGTGCAAACTAAATGCAATGAATACTTACAAAGCAAACCGAAAAGTTGAACTCTTAACTTCAAGAAGTTTACTCTAAACAGGAATAACAGAAATTCACTCATCAAGTGGCTTAATAAATTGCCTTCAATCAAATTTCAATTGGGAAAAATATGGAACACAAACGCTGGTCACTATAATTGTCATAATTAGCTGAGCCATTACTATGAATGAGCACAGTACTAGTAGTTGGTAGATGCTATGATTTTTCATGCTAGGTCATGTAATCTTCATTTGCAGAGGAGAAACCCAGGGCCAGAGAGGTTGAATGGCTTGTTCATCATCACGCAGCTAACAAACAGATCTCAAGGCCAAGTTTGTCTGGTTCCATCATCCTTGTTCGTAGCTTCTAAATGCACAGAGCAGTACCTTCTTAGATTCCCAGTGGAATTTGTCATCTGCAGATCCACAACAGAAAGAAACTTGGATCAGCAGCTTAGCTGGGGGAACTTGGCATGGACTGATAAAGTAGAGGCTCATACTTCATAATTTCAAAATAAAATACTGCTACTTGGCTTTTGGAGCCTTACCTCCATGACCTTGAGACCAAAAATACTACCACTGCTGACCGCTCAGAAAAGGGCAACCTTGGGAGGTCCTGAATAGAGTGAGAGAAAAGGGTGGAACAAAGCTCAAATTTATCAAAAAGGCCAAGCTTACTAGTTGGATAGAGACTGGGGGAACCCCTGCCACTATGGCCCTTAGTCACCCTTCTGGCTTGGAAGTGAGTTCAGTTCCCGTGGCTCAGGGTTCAGCCCAGATAGCAGATAGGTCCATACAGAGAACCAGAACATTCGTGAGGTACTCACACCTTCTAATGAGCAACTATCGAGGTCAAAAGGGTAGCATTTGTCCAATGACAAAACAGGGAGAGCAGGAAGCTTCAGGAAAGAAGGTGGAATGGAAACCGGAGACAAGAGAGGAAGTGGGACGAGTGATGTGACATGGTGGGGATGGCAACCGATGAAGTAAGATGTGAATGAATTGTTGATTGGAATCTGATTTGCTCTGAAAATCTTCACCCAATTCACAATGAAAAGCTAAAAAAAAAAAAAAAAAAGGAAGAAAGAAAGGAAAAATCAAGATGAAATATGTATATCTGTATATTAGATATAAAAGCATTTGCACATCACAAGTGGAATCATCAGGATCACTACAAGGACATTGTATTTCATGAACCGCAGAGAGCCCGAGATGAGAACATACCAGTAGCCGTGAAAATGGCACAGGCAAAGGAGACCTTTGGCTCTGTTGTACAAAAGGTGGCCATAGTCAGAGTTTATTCCATCACAATGATTCCTATCTGTCTGGCCACCAATCCATTCGTCTGTCCGTCCATCCATCCTATATATACATATACCATTCATTTATGAAAATAGATAAAGATTATGTATCTAAACCATCTTTACATATGCCATTACTTATGTCTATCAGGTAGGGAAGGAAGAGGAGACATTGACCCCTAGTTCAACTTTCCTTATTTCTTTGCCACAAAATCATTTAGGGAGTAGAGAGACAATAACGAGAGGGCAAAGACACTTAATCAGAGATTTTACAAACCACTAAATCAAAAGAGACTGTGAAATTCCCGCCCGGGGAAGCTCACAGCGAGCTTAAGTGGATTAGTCTACTGTACAGGAATCTGCGGACGCGGACGGCATGTGATTTTGCTGGGGCTTACTCAGCAGCCACATCATGGTTTTGCATCTCGCAAGCATATGGGCAGGTGCCCTTCCGCAAACCAGCCAGAAAGAGCAGCGCCTGGCGCGCCGCTCTCCCCGCACCGCTGTCTGATTTCGGGCGTGCCAGAGGCTGGCATTTACAGAGAGTTTGTGTGCGGGGGAACGTGCTGGAAATGAAAAGGCGACCAGGCTAATCAACTCGTAATGTCTACTTTTGAGAGCCAGGTTCTTGATGGCTAACTCGCATGGGCTGGACTTTGGACTTTGGCATGAATTCTTGGAGACAGAGGGAGGAAGTCCGCCTTCAGACCACATGGTTGCCCCTTCCCCAGGCCTCTGCAGAGCAAAGGGTTACCCATGGGGGCTCAGAAGAGCCCTTTTTGCTGTGATTCTCTTACAGGTGCCAGGGGCACCAGCATCAGCCCGCAGGATTCAACTCACAAACCACAGAGCTCGCTGGTTTCCCAAAACCCACAGGGACACACTGAGAAGGCTGGCGCTCCAGGGAGCTGAATGAACCAACTATGACTCACCAGAGTTAACAGTTGACATTAGCAGTCTATAATAAATAATTAATACAGCCCTAAGCGCTATAAAGTCAGTGACATGGTATCTCTCCCTTGGCTCTAAATGGAACTCCAGATAACCTACTTTGAACGGTAATGTGTTCACAGTATGTGGGAATTAACCGCTCAATATAATAAGTACTATTGAATTTCCCATCTCCATGCAGTTGAAGGGCAACTGCCACCCCAAACACAGTCATAACAGTAACTCAGGGATGAAAAAAAACAACAACAACCCTCTTTTATGGCAACCTTAAAATGTTATGGGTTAAAATCATCTTTAAGGGTTTAAAAAATAGCAATTAAATCTTACCATTTCTGTTTTCAAGACTGCAGCTGAAAAAACGAGGGTCTAAGAGCCATACTGTGCTAGCCTTGCAGAATCTCATTAATTCAGTCTGGCTCTTCAGATCAGCCGCTACATCCTTGTATTGTCACTCATCCCCTGGCCTTTTCAGGATTTCCATAGCCTAACTAGCAGTATCTCCATGGAAACCAAGCAGTCCTGCTTTGCACAGCCCGGAACTTTTTGTTCCTGACAAAGCTTGACAAATCACATGCAACATGGAGAGTTTAACACAGCGAACTAAATCCTGACCCTCACTTAGAAATGATAAACCCAAGGATCCCAGCTTTATTATAAATGATTTCCTTACAAGATACTTAACCAAGCCAGGGAAATGCTGAACCAGACAAGTTTCGAGAACAAGGTACTGGGGTGGGGGTGGAGGGGGATGCTGCCCAGAGAGGAAGCAAATAAATACATGGATAAGGAATCCCATACTGGTTCATCTGGTTCTATTTTGCCAATCTCATTTTGTGTCTGTTTAATCATAACCTCGGTTGAAAGCAGCGCAGGAGAGAGCGTGGGAGGGGATGCTGTTCCCAGAAGGGCCTTCCTTTCGCACGAGGAGGAGTAACACACGCGGAGTCCTCCTCTTCCTTTCCCTTGGTGGGCTCAGCTTGGGAATCCAACAGGTCTCTGTCCTGCTGGCCCCTCCTGGTGTGGCGAGTTTGCAGTTCTGAGGGGACGAGGTGTGGATGATTCTGGAATGTGGACTGTTCTTCCTGGGAAGAGAAGTTGAATTCCCTCGGGACAACAAGAGGACGTGGTGAAGCAGAGGAGAGCGTTCTTGGGGGCCTTTGACTCCTCAAAGCCCCAGTTGCCCATCCCCTGTACCCAGCAACCCTCATTATTCCTGCCCTCCCTCCCTGGCCTCCTGTAGGGGAGATGGGACCAAAGTGCCCCCCCCTCCTCCATAGGGCGCTGTCTTCGGAAGCAGGATCAAGCTGAGAAGAAGGGCAGTAGGAAGCTGAGCAGGACTCCATGGTGTCCAGGCACAAGTTCCTCCTCTATGGAGTCGGTGTCAGAGGCTTACCTGGGGCAGAATCAAGACACACACTTTTCCTCCGACTTATCCAGGTTTGAGTGTGAGGCAGCAATGCATTCTCAGGTAGGAAGGGCTCTTCTGTCTAATGGTTGCTTTCCTACCAGGAATGAGCTTCCTAGGTATAGACGGGAATAAATACACAGAATAGGGGGGTAGGGTGGGGGTGGGGGTGGGGGGTGTTAGGATGACATTATCCCCCAGTCGGCTGTCTCCCTTTCGCCATCTCTGCAGTGTCAGCTCAGTAATGGTGACAGGAAAGCACACAGGGGTAGGACAGGGGCCATGGCTTCAATTTCATTCTGTGTCCTTGGCCACACTTGGCATCACACTAGGAATGGATGTCTCTGAGGGTCCCAGGAGGTCTTCCTCCTTGGCTCTCCTTGCTTTTGAGACTTACAGTGTTTTAGAAATGTCATGCTACTCAGAGCTTTGGGGATGGTTGGTCTTGACTAATCAGACAGAACTAGATGGACCTGCATGTTGTCAGCTGTGTCCGTACTCTCATTACGCAGGGTCTTGCATGCTTAGAACAATGGCCATCCTGGACACATTGTACATGAATGACAAATATTTACTGATGAACCGAACTGGTTCTTTTAAGATCCCACAGTTCTCTATGATTGATCGAAGCAAGAAACCCTATCTCGTTTCAAACATCAGTGAATTTTATGGCACACTTTGCCTTTGAAAGCCAAGAATGATGACAACAACAATAGTAGTAGGAGCAGCAGCAGCTAGCTGCTATTGAGTTCTTACTCAGTAATACCAGATGGTCTCCCAATTGCCTCATATGTAAAAACCCATTTGATCCTCATAACTATCATATAGGAAATTAATGCTTTTACTATCCTTTGATTATTAACCTAATTTTATCAATGAGAATCCAGAGAGCACGCTTAACTAATTTCCTCAAGTTCACGGGGTAGTTATCTGTAGTACTGAGGTTTGAATCTAGGCAGACTCTGGAATCTACACGCTATTATTTGCTGTCTTTCATTATATTATGAATGCTGAGTGTCTTGAACCAGACTATTCAGCTAATTACAATCGCTAACAATTAGTTAACACCAAAAAACAAAGTCAAACCTACTGTCATTGAGTCAATGCAAGTCATAGCCACACGGTAGGACAGAGTCGCCCCCAAAGGCTTGGAGGCAAATCTTGTGGGAAACAAAGCATCACAGTTCCCTCCTGCGGAGCAGGCTGGTACATTCAAACTGATGGGATGTTGATTAGCAGCAGATTGTGTAATCACTGTGATATCAAGGCTCCTCCCACCATTAGTTTTTACTATATCCCAGGTGCCACTCTAACTTTACACGTATCATCTCAACATGACAACCATCTGGGGAGGGCTATACTATGAGGCAAGCTCTATTATTAGCATCACTTTATGGATGAGGAAACTGAGGCACAGAGAGGTAACGTTAATCCACTCAAAGCCATGTAACCAGCAAGTGACAAAACCAAGATTCAAACACAAGGATGCTCTAGAAACTTCTCTTAGCTGGACCCTTCCCCTTTTCTCTGGTCTTTCCAAGCAAGACAGCGAATACTTTTCCATGAACCCATTATTTCATGCAAATGTTTGCTTTCTGAGTACACCCACCAGCAGAACAAGACAGGACGGGCATAACTGGCATTTCCTCCTTCTAAGACAACTTTTCCATGTTGTGTAGAGATGCCAGACACAAGTTGAGGACTAGTGGCTGCCCATTCCCCTGATCCTGGGAGGTCACGCCTGAGGAGACTCGGTCTCCTGTCTACTCTCAGGGAGCCAAGGCTCAGAAGGGCGTACACAGGGTGTCAACAGTCTGGGCGCAGACTCTGAGATGAGGCGGTGATCACGTGCATCCCGTTGCTATGGGTAGTGGCTGTAGAGTGGGTTCTGACTCCCAGAAACCCCATGTACTGAAACCCTGCCCGGCCCTGCGCTACCCACACGGTGATGATGCCTGCCTGAGCCCATGGTTGCAGCCATCCTCGTCTCAATCCATTTCATTGAGGGGTTTCTTCTTGTTTGGCCGGCCCTCCACCAAACACGCTGTCTTTCTCCATGGCCTGCTCCCTCCTGGTCACGTACCCAAAGTGCGTGAGACAAAACCTCCTCCTCCTCGCTTCTAAGGGGCATTCTTGTTGTACTTCTTCTGAGATAGACTTGTTCTTTTTCCAGCAGTCCATGGTATACTCGGTATGCTCTGGCAACATTGTTAAGCAAATCCATCGTTTCTTCAATCTTCCTTACTCGTTGTCTAGCTGCTGCAGGCTTACAGGCCAGTTGAAACGATCATGGCTTGAGTGAGGTGCACCTTTTCCCTCACAGTAAAATCTTGGCTTCTCGACTTTTTAACGAGGTCTTTTTCAGCCAGTGGATTTACTCAGTGCAATCATTGTTACATGCCTTAGCTGCTTCACCCATGGGTGGTGATTGTGGACCCAAGTAAAATGAAATCGTCGACATTTGCCATCTTTTCTTTCTTTATCACGGCAGTGCTTGCTAGGCTAGTTGTGAAAAGGTTTGTTTCAGGCTATAGGGGAATCCTTTCTTTTGATATTCATCAGCAAGTGCTCTTTACTTTCAGCAAGCAAGGTTTGTGTTATAAGTCTTTCTCCAAATTCATCTTCATGTAAATTTATTTTATATATGAATATATATATTCATGTATATATTATATAAAATATATGATATACAAATCATATATTTTATATGAATCTATAAAAATATACTGTCAGGTAAATTGATTCAGCATACAAATATAATAAGTGCAGTGAATGGATAAATCCTGACACATACCTTTCCTGATTTTAAGCTACACAATATCCTCTTATTCTATTGAGATCCCTGCCTGTTGGCCTATGTACAAGTTCTCCAGAAGCATAATTAAGTGCTCTGGAATTCCCATTCTTTATAATATCATTCAGTTGAATGCCTTTGTATTGGAAAAAGATACAAATAAATATCTTTCTGGTGCTCTGTATTTTCAATCAAGATCTAGATGATATCAGCAATGGTATTTCTTGTCTGACTGTACTTGTCTGAATTTAGTTTGAATTTCTGGCTGTTCCCTGTCCATGTACTCCTGCAATTCTTTTTAAATTGTCATCAAAGAAATTTTACCTGCTTAATTGTATTATTTGTATCATTTGATAATTTCCTTATTCTGTCCAATCATCTTTCTTTGGAATGGGCACAAATATGGATCTCGTCCAGATGGTTGGGTAGCCGTCTTCCAAATTTCCTGGTTCTTCCAGTGTTGAATCCATCTGTTGAAACAGCCCAACTGATTCTGTCCCTTCCTGAGGTCTTGTTTTCCTCCAATGCCTTCAGTGTAGCTTAGACTTATTCCCTTAATATTGCTGGTTCTTTCCCACCCTGGAATAGTTAAATGTTGACCCATTCTTTTAGTGACTCTGTGTATTCCTTCTACTTCTTTTAAATGCTTTCTGTGTTATTTGATATTTTGCCCATAGAATCCACCAATTTTGAAACTTGAAGCTTGAATTTAAAAAATTATTTAAACTTAAGAAATGCTGGGTGCATTTTTCCCTTTTGGTTTTCTAATGCTAGGTCTTTGTACATTTCATTCTAATCCTATACTTTGTGCCTTCTTGAGCTCTCCTTTGAAATTTTCTATTCAGCTCTTTTGCTTCAATCATTTCTCTCAGTTCACACTATTGATTCTATATTTAAGAGTAAGTTTTAGAGTCTCTTATGACTCCTTGTTGATCTTTTTTTGTCTTTCCTGTCTTTTCAGTGATCTTTTGCTTTCTTTATGTAGGGCATCCTTGATATCACCCCCAATTGATCTGGTCTTCTATCATTAATGCTTAATGAAGCAAAGCTATCCTTGAGGTGTTCTTTATATTCAGGTGCGGTATACTCAAGGTCATATTTGGCTCTTGTGAGCTTGTTCTAATTGTGTTCAATTTCAACTTGATGCTGCATATGGGCAGTTTCAATGGTCTGCTCTGCAGGCAGCCATGCCCTTATGCTGGTGGATGATATTGTACCTCTCCATTGTGTCTTTCCACAGATGTGGTTGATTTGTTTTCTGTGTATCCCATTAGGGAAGGTCCTCATGTATAGTGACCATTTGTGTGGTTGGAAAAAGGCATTTATAATGAATAGGTT